ACACCCGTCTCAGAGCCACGCGCTGTTTTCTAAAAAAAACTGCCAGATGGCGCTTATGTCTCACGTGTGACGTGACTTGATGCGCTTGTTTGCCTCCGCTGCACACTCGCAGCGCCTTCAGAATACCATTCACCGATTTTCTTGTGCAGAACATCAAATAAATGTCTGGTTCACTCTCTCCACACGCAAGACTATCGTCTTTCGACGACATTTGCAGATTACATGCAGATACGGGGCCGATTTTTTCTTCTTGATCCCTCCAGTACCGAATGCTGGTTTCTCCAACACAGAAATGTCTGCTTGCAGCCCGGTTATCGTGCTCCAGTGCGTGCTGCACTGCCTTCAGTTTAAATCCAGCTGTGTAGCTTGTATACTTCACCATGGTGGAACCAAAGTTGAATACACGACCACAACATACGCACACCGCTTGCAAAATGGCTTAGAAGTGTGGCCGTTTGGGCTAGTTGGTATGACATGACGATAGTTATAGCGCGAGAACAGAACGAGGAAAAAGAGACAAGAAGGACACGAAGATAGTTATAGCACGAGAACGAAACGACGACAAAGAGACAAGAAGTACATGAAGGACACGAGCGCGTATCCTTCTTGTCTCTTTGTCGTCATTCTGTTCTCACGCTATAACTATTGGCAAAATGGCGTTTCTTTCTTTTTCTATGATGGTGGTGATGATGATCGAGCTCCCAGCGTTGTACACGTGACCTCCAGAGGTCACGTGTACAACGCTCACTAGAGTGTCGTACCAGCTTTGTTGTGCGAGCGTTAGCTTCCTTCATACGTGGGGCTGTTTCTCATTTAGAGGGCCGCCGACGGCTCTTCGTGGTGCCGGACGGTGTGTGGGGGAGCTGTACGGTGGAAGCCTAATGGATGTCGCAGTAGTTTCTTGTGTGTGTTTAGTTTAGGTCATTATTCTGACAGCAGTCCTCGAGGTCAAACTCTGAGGAGACTCCCTGCTCCCCACGCTTGGGTGTACCTGTTTGAATTCATTACAGCCAATTGAGTGTTGTCAACGGAGACTCTTGTGAGGTCCTTTTCTATTTGGTCTCTGGGCAGAATCTCGGGATGTTTCCTGGGGTGCCGGGAGAAGAGTCGCACGGTGGACGCCATGAGAGCAGGTTGCAGCAAGTGCCACGCAGAGGTGTCTCAGTTATGTAGCGTGAAACTGTGTACAACGTCAATTAGGAGCGTTTTAGCCAAATAAATGATTTTAGAAAAAAGTTTATAGATCTGCTGTGTGTACGTGTCAGTCCTCTTTCTGGCAGCAACCAAGTGGAAACCAGAATACTACGCTACAATACTGTCGATCAGGTGATAGAGAAATGCACAGAATACGACCAGCCCCTATACATAGCCTTCATAGATTATGAGAAAGCATTTGATTTGGTCAAAATATCAGCAGTTGTGCAGGCACTGCATAATCAGGGCACTGATGAAATCTATATAAACATACTGAAATGTACAGTGGATGCACAGCCATTGTAGTGTGCCATATAGAAAGCTTTTGTACGACACTTTTGTATGACTACTATACGTGCATAGACTGGCTGTGGTTGTTCATTCCTGGTCATGATGGATGACATATACTGAAAAGTGATGACGAAAAGTGATACTGAAAAGTGTGAAATTGCAGCGTGTTTGTGTTTGTACGTACAAACAGCGCCTCCTCTATTTTTTTCAGTGCCCGGGCGAACGTTCTCTTTAGGTCGTCGAGCGTGGGCTCTGCCTCCGCTCGCCACTGCAGCATGGCGGTGCTGCGCGAGTTGACTTCGGGATGCTCGCACTGAACGGCCGCATGTATTAGGATGCTCGTGAATTCGTATTTTCATGCGAGTAAATTTGCAGTCGTGCTTCTTGACGGCTTTCGCAGATGCAGGGAGGATTAAGAGTAGCACAAACATAATGGCATGCTGTTATCCCGGGCTTTGTCAGGCTGTGCTACCAATTTGATATATGCGTTCGAGTTTTATAGCATTCGCGTTTTATTGTCCCTTTCAAGCTATCGCAACCTCATTATTTTCATGCATCAGTATATAATACTGCTGTGTACCACTCTGCATATCTGACAGAAAAAAAATCCGATTGTTTTTTTTTCATTTATCATTAGTGGCAAAAAAAAAACTCGTCGGCCTTATGGATTTGCCTGGGACGATTGAAAGACAAAAACTAACCTCGTTTTCTTCCGATTAAATGCACTGAATATTTCTACTTCCCTCCGAGATATTTCTGCACTCAACATTGTTTTCTTACTGCCTGAGGGATTGAGACAAAGCTAGCTTTCTTCTTCTCAGCTGGCTATGCACTCCCATCATGATCGGCCCATTTCAACCATGTGAAGATGTTGTTTGACGCCGTCAAGTTATGCGCCATACTGATACATCACAAATATTTGTGATATGTGACGACGTTTTCTCGTAATGATGATTTATTGCATCGCTCATGTTCACGCCGCCAACGCAAGAAGACGCCGAGCGCCGCCAGTGATCAATTTTCGCTTTTGATGAGGCATTTAAAGCTATAACCTTAATGCACTGCACAGCTGTAGCTCCATCAAATTTCAGCTTTCGCTGGTGTTCAGGGAAGCAACGGTAGCAGTAATCAGGCAGAGCAATTGTTTCCTAATAAATTTTGGCACTACACTCTAATATGCAGCTGTCATTTACAACCCGAGTACTTTATCGATTATAAGTAGTGGTGGCTGAAGACTACCCATCACGTTTGACAACATGGCGATTGGTAGCACTATACGAGAGTGCGCTGCATCCGAACAGTCAACAAACGAGTATCATTAACAATGCTGCCTCGCGATCACTGCCGTGTGCAATGCTACCATTATGCCCTGAAGCTGAATGGGAGCCCATAGACACCACACAGCAATTCGGCCTCTACTCTGCTCGCTACCGAATTAAGAGACCAGCAAGAAGAAGAGAGAAACAGAGCTGAGCATAAAGGCAAGGACAATCTGTCCACGAATACGCAGACGAGCTCAAGCAACTGACCACAGGCCATATTTTTCATTCCTGTCACCTTGGCTCAAGTGGAGAGCCGGCATTAGACTTCAGATTTTACCAGCACCTGTTCAAAACATAGGCAATGATCACAAAAATCACGCTGCATGTGGAGCTGTTCCTGTTTATTTCACGATGATTTCATTGTTTAAGCTCTCAAATGGTGAAATCACCCGCTGTAGTTGCTCATTTTCTGACACTTGCTTTTTCTTGTTGGCAACACATGTAATGCTTTACGAAGAGAATGGATACATGATGACCTGTTCCCCTGGAAGCAGTCTTGTGGTATTTCGTGCTATTCAGAGCATGAACTCCAGGCTTGCGCATAATAACCTACGCAACTAGAGAGTAGTAAACATAAGGAAACATTATGTACCCAAGCTTTTAATGTTAGCTTCTCGCAAAGGCTTCTCTCAAAAGTCGACTTTCAATTAGTCAAAAGAGCAACTCTCAGACAAGCGAAAACCGCGGGGACAAAACAATCTTCCGCGGGTTACTGGCATGAGTATCTTGTATTGGCCTAGCAGATAACGCGTGAGCGCCTCAATCAAGTAGTCGCGAATGACGCATGCCTTTCAATGAGCTGGGTTTCCATAACAAGTGCTTCACGATTCTCGTTTCTAAGTTTCAATCACACCTTAAGGGCCAAACTCCATAAGCGCGAAAATGCACGCGACGAGCGACGCTATGAGCGACGAAACATGGCGTTCGCGCGACGTGTCGCGGGGTAGTTTTCGCGCGATCGCTCGGTTCTCCAGATTTGGAAACCGTCGCTCATCGCCCGGAAGTGCTGGGCTCAAGCAGCCAATAGCGAAAAACCGGAAAAGACGAAGACTACATAGGTGCACGTGACCCTGCCCGAGTCACGTATGCGCAACAAGAAATAACGCAATGTTTATTACGCATGCGCATATAAAAAATGCTGCATGGCAATAATAAACACTTTCCGTTCTACTACACAACAATATATCTTATTTTTAAATTGGAAACCGCTCGCTACGCGGTTTTCTTGGTGCGAGTTGACGGCCTCATGCCAGCAACAGTGGAATTCGCTCGCCGAAGCCGTCGCGTGAATGAGGTTTGCCTGCGCTAGCGACTGATCGCGCGAAGCCGATCTACGTCGCGTCGCTCGTCGCTGTCGCGTGCATTTTCGCGCTTATGGAGTTCGGGCTTAAATGATGCGAATACAGCCGAAAACTGAGTCATGTAGCTGCTTCCAATGCAGCCGCAGCATTCGTTTGCGCGAGAGACGATGCGGCGGCATCTCTACTCCAGTTGCGGCATCTGGCGGCAAAACGTCGCACTAGCATAGACTGTAGCTTTCCATTGAAATCCGCTCCGTCGCCCAGGCCTTGGAAAAATAGAGGAGGCACTGGTACAAAGCACAAAGCTGTACGAGACGAGATATTTTAAGCTACTCATCATTTGAGGACCATTGTCTGGGCATGCAGTTTCGTTCCAGCGGCTTGTTTTTAGTTTTCTTAAGACAAACTGCAGGCAACTTGTTAACTCATTTTGTCTAGCTTTTGGCAGAATGCAATAAAGAAAAAGAGTTCCACTACAAGCCTGAATACATGCAAGTGCATGAAGCATTTATTGTCCGCAGTATGATTGTATTACTTCTTGCAGTATGTTGCTTGATGCAAGGAGCACCTAGATAACTTGTTGTTTACTACTAAGCAAAACAGTCTTATTGAACCAGAGCGCATGCATAACTTGAAAACATTTGTACTTTATGGCAAGCATTTAGTGATTTATTCTGGAGTTTTCATCTAGTAAGTGAACTTGTTCTTTCACAGGCTTGACAAAATTGCAACAGTACTGTCACTGTTTAGTGAACGTAGAAGATTTACTGCAAGAAGCTTCACATCTACGTCTCTTTCTTTTATTCATGCTTGGGCTATCATTATTTATTGTTGCCAGCTCAACACGAATGTGGCAATGCCAAGATGAGTAGCACAGACTTGTTTTCCACAGGTACAGCAAGACCCCGCAGGGTCCAGCATCAACGGCTAGCTCGAGCCACCTACTAGCAGGCGTAGGCGAACTGAACCGGTGTGATCCTGCTGCCACCATGACCTGGCCCCGGGGCCTGCTGGGTGACCTCAAAAGCCACCTACAGGCATCCGCCGCGCCTCCGCCACGGCCATCCTCGTCGGCGACTAGCGAGAGCCACCTCGCCCATCGAGCAAGACGTTCGGTGCGCGTTCCCCATGGCTAGTGCATTCAATGCGAGCCTGTGTCCGCCACCATCAGAAACAAAAGCTGTGCACACAATCTTTCTTAAAACTTTGAAAAGAAACATCTTTGACGGTGAAATTTGGTGTGCACTCACCATTAGGTCATTCCATGCCGAATCAACTAGTGCTTCTGAAACTGTCACAAATATGGCTCGAAAAAAAATTACACAATTTTTAAAGTTAAAAACATCTGTCTCTCTATTTATATTTCAAAAGTTTTCCCACCTATTTGTGGTATCTTTGCACTAACTGAGCTTGAGGGCATCAAACAGTTTTATTTCAAAGGGCATTTATTGGATGTACTCGATAAAATGGTGCTTGTGACAAGCTAATAAAGTGATAGTATTATAAAAATAATTAGTAATTTATATATATCAATTTTTCAAGGGCTTTTGCACAAGCGAAATTTGATAAAGTTGCAAAATTCGATATTTTGGGGGGAAGTATGGCAAATTTAAAAGGCACAAATGAAACAGGTACAGTAGAGTCTCAGTAAATGGACCTGCTTCCTAACTGAAACAACTGCCTCCAGTACAATAGGTTTCACACTTCTCCACCCTTGTCCATCTCCCAGTGAACGGATCTCCTGGTCCTTTCAGGTTCTATTTAACAGGAGTCTACTGTACAATGGTGGCCTGTTTGACATGCTTCAGAAAGAAAAATAATTTAGCAGTTTCTTGGTACAGACGACTGATGGTTTTGAGGCACAAAAAACATTTCCTGAAACAGGAGGAGCTCTTTCTTCTGCTCCTCCCATTTTACGAAATGTTTTTTGTACCTGCACCAAGTAACTCCCCCAAAAACAAGTTCTTTTAAATAATTCAGGCGCATGAATATCCTCTGAAAGAAAACACATTGCAAATTTATTATTTTTTAAAAAAGGTCTGTATTCAACACCAAAAACTTGCCTTGGTGTTCAGACTGAAGTTAAAAAGCTAAACCCAAGGCATACTTTTATTAACTTTTGTATCTCCACCAGTTTTTTGCCGACATAACTCAAACGGCATCAGTGACTTGCAAAGACAATTTTCAGCCCAAGCCCACTGATTTGAGACGGAGATGGCAAACTTGGCGCTGTCTTTATACACGTTTTCACGGCTACATTCCTGGGGTCCGCCATGATCCTCTAGGACTGCACTAAATAGGTGTGACCCCCCCCCCCCCCCCCAAAGTGCATTGCTGAGACTGTGACGTCAGTTTTTTTACTCATGTGCACAACGCAACCAGCGTTTTTTTTTTTGTCTCCTATGAGAATGTCTATGAAGCAATCAAAAAGGAAGTGTAGCTATCTGTTGTTTTTGTGCTTTTCTTCGTTGGTGTCGCGGCCTGTTCAACTCGACGCAACTTTCTCACCTGTGTGCCTACAGAGATATTGCCCCCAGAGATATTCTGCAAGCAACGCGGCCAGAATGTGGTGCCCAGCAGTATAATTTTGTGAATGCAAAATTTTGAGAAAGTGGTACTGACTGGCTTCTCTACATGTGGCATTAATTTGTTCTGTCATTACATTTGCTCTCTTCACAATAGGTTTGGGTTCCACACTGCCTTTTGAGCCATTTTTTTCCTTTCATTATTCGCTGCCCTCCACGCATGATTGCTGTTCACAGCTTATGCTTGCCTGACACCCCACACAGATCAATGAGCGCAGTTTACGCCAGTCAGAATTGACAAAAACATCCATCTCAGTGAAGATGTTGCATTTGCAAGCGAGTTCTGGAAAGAAATTCTCTGCCATTTAGAGTATCCCAAGGATTCATGTTCGAAGTCGGCTCAACTGCTCAGGAGCAGTTGAGCTCGTCTGAGCAATAATTGAAAGCAATAACCAGATGCTTTGTACAGATTTCATAATGACTGCACAATAAAGAAAGAAAAAAGACAACCAGTGCTTCTCGGTGTTTGATTTGTCATTCTGAAGCCGTGCATTACCAAATTGCCCAGCTCATTTTGCTCTGATGGCTGCTTTCAACATTTATCCATTGATATTGGTGCAGTGAGCATAAGTTCAAAATTTTATGGGTGCTACCATGTTGCCATGAAATAATTGTTTTTCATGGTTTCCGAATAGACGGGTGTCCTAAAAAAGATCTCACCACCGCTATTTGTTTTTCTTTTAACCCAAATGGGAAATCCAGATATTAAGATACGTCGTTTCACTGGGATGTGTCCGTCTAATGGTAGACAGTTCATTTCAGCCGCTCAGCGAGCAGCGTGCAGCGTGCAGGTCTGCTTCTGGTTCTCTTTCTCAAACGTCATTCTGACGTCTCAAATAATAATAATAATAATAATAATAATAATAATAATAATAATAATAAAAAGAAGAATCCTTACTACTCCTTTCATCAGAAAAAGGTACACATATCGGGCCTGCAAAAGCCACATAGTGCTTGAGTGGCAGTGCCTGGCAGCAGCAGAAAAGCAGGCAGTCTTTGAAGATATACATTTGCATATACAGTCAAGCCCGCTTATAACGAACCTGAGTGTGATGCGGCATCTCTTCGCTGTATCCCAAAGTTCGTAGTAAATAAAAAATAGCCTTTAAAAAGTTGCAAGTGAAAACAGTTTTTTTTTTTGCAAGAATGTTTGTAATGCAGGTGTTTTGAAAACCAGAAGCGATAAGGGTGGTCGTGAGTTTATTTAAAGCGACAGCATGCTCTTCACTAAGGCCCTTGTCGTATAGAAGCTGCCCGAGGCTGTTAATTTAGCCAATTACTAAAGGCACACTTGTTGGCACTATATTTAATGTTCTGTCATCCTCATCATCCGATTCCTCCAAATCGCTCTCGCTGCGCACTTCATTAAAAATATCCTCACATGTGCATGGTTCCGCCGTGTCAGCATCACCATCGGCCATAATGAAATCATCCCAGCAGATGTCCCGCCATCCCATCGAGTCGACTATGCACTGCTGCTGAAGTGGTCCTGTTCGGAAGCTTCAGGCCCAGCATCGTGTCCAATATCGATGAAGTCGGCCTCCCGAAAACAATTTTGACTCATGTAGGTGTCACCTCCGCCACAAAGTCTTCACCATCTCCGCAGCTAAATACAGGCAGACCTGAAGCAGCAATTCCGCAGCTATGAGCTAGCGCTCCAAAATGCGGCACCTATAATAAGTCTTAAATGTGAGAATTACACCCCAGTCAAGCGTTTTGTTGAGCAGCAGGAAAAGACGCAGAAGGCCATCTGTTTGCTGTCTTGACCACGCACTCATGCCAACAGTAGAGTGACCTAGTAGTATAACCTTTGTGTTTTTTCTATCTTTCCACATTGGAAGCAACACCAAAGCGACGGGCATCTGCTATGCACCTAATATTTTGACTGCTATTAGTCAACATAGTGGTAATGTGGACAAGATTTGTAACACCTTTATCATCATCATCATTTTTTAGCCCCTGCGCCGTGCCTCTTGCGCAGCTGATGCCTAGCTTGAGCTGCACGAGAACAGAACAAGTTCAGGCGCCTGGCCTGTCGTACGCTGGCAGCGGCTGCCGCTCCGCTTTACCCTAGGAATAAAGTGGCGATATTGGCACATCACGACCCCGTGACAATACGATAAGTAGCATGTACACTAGTAACATGAAGGTAGTAATAATTTTCAGTGCGAAACGACACCACAAGAAAGACTACAGGACAAAGTGCTTTGTCCTGTTGTGGTATCGTTTGACATTAAAAAATAGTCACTCGCACTAGCTAGCCGTTGTGGGGAAAATGAAGGTGGTATAGAATAACAAAGAGCTGAGCTGGTTGATTCACTCTAAAGAAGAAAAAACAGAGCAAGCTAACACTCACGCCGATGCTTGTCGTGTACTGGCCTCCTTCTTGTGTGCGCATTTGCACATCCCGTTTCTTTTGGAATAAAGGTAGCATATACAGCAACTATATTGCGACTAAACTTGGCGTATGGAGAGCGCTCAAGCACATCCTGTTACCAAGACAAGTTCTTCATGAACAAAAGAGGCTTATGGTTGGAATCATCCCATATCTTTTGGAAATATGTCTGCTTACTATTTAACTTCACCGTCATATCTGCCGTCATCACGATGGCTCAAACTTCTGTGTGTTTTTGTGTGCCATAATACAGCCCTGACACAACCATGTTTAATCAAGGCTGATACGGATTAGACATCCATATGCAGATCAATTTAGGCTCAAATATGAGCAAAATCATTATTAAAAGTGACGATGTAGCAGCACATGAGATTATGTTGGGATCAAACGTTCAAGCAGATCTGCTTGTCTGGGGCTGTTGGCTTCGCCTTCCACACAGTCCCAGAGCATTGTCCATACCCCCCACCAGACAAGAGAGAGAGAAATAAAAAAAAGAAAAGAGGACGGGTATGACATCAGACAGCAAATGTGCAAGAGAAATGGCTTCACCGTCGTCTTTCAGTGCACCTCCAGGAAGGAAGACTCACCTTTCCCAGGAGTGGCCGTATATTTCCTTACACCAGCATTTTGTAGAGTTATGTAAAAGAGTTAGCTGCCAGCCTTAAATCATATACCATTACGACTTGTTGCCATCTCATTCACTGCTTCATTCTTCTGACGAAAACTGTGATTTTTTTTTTCCAAATTCAAGGGACAAACTTCTCTCCTCCCTAACTCTCTAATCTATCCTCCCTTTTTTACCCAACGTCACTGTCGATCCATTAAACCCTGCACTGTTCATGCGCCGCCGTCACGTTACCACTGTTGTTTCCACCACCGCTATATTTTCAACACACTGAATAAATCAGTTTGTGTCTTCTGTGCTGCTCATTTAGTTTACAGGAAAAACCATTTTCTTTCAATAACCTCCATGAATATCAACTGCAGTGTTCTGTAGCATGCTTGTGAAAGCTGCTGCAGTGAAACCCAATCAACAATAACTTGTGGGCAAAATGTTATTCTCCCTCACACAGGATCCGACTCCGTTGGTTGAGGACCTGACCAGCCTTCTTCACTTTCACGAGGCCGGTCGAAGTGCAGAGCCCCCACCGGCCAACGACCTGCTTGATCTGTCAAGCCTCCTGTCGGGCGGTGGGCTGTCCTCTTCAGAGTTGCTCGTGGGCCGGAACTTCGAGGAGCTCGACGGGGACGTCTGTGGCCGCCTAGGTGGGGGCTTTCACGAGGAGTTCTTCAAGAAGTCCACTGGCGATGGCGTACGTCAAGACGCCGGCGGCACACCTCGCACTCCCATGGCGGCACCGGGAGGTGGTCCACACACACTGCCACGTGCTGCGGAGCACACAGCACCTGCTGCATCCGCGACCAGCACGCTCGGCTCAATGGCTTCACGTCTGGCGGGCCTCGAGGGCTGCCTGGCCGCACTGGGCCGAAGCCAGAGTCGAGAACTGCAGGAGATTAAGGCCGAACTGTCAGCCATTCGTCGCCTTCTCATCTCAGTCCTGTTTCACGTGCTGCCAGAGGAAGCGAGGAGTGACGCCGTTGCCAAGTACACGTGAGGCGAGACTACTCGCCCGACATTAGCCAAATGGAGAGCTCCAACCGCGAAACACGCGAAGGTTTATCTCTGTCCATGTTTTGCTAAGCAAGAGGGTTAGTGACGTGCTGTTGTAGGTCTTTCTCAATATAAACAACGGCGACAGCCAAAGCTTATTTGGTGAGAACACTGTTTCGTCCACATTTTGTGGCTGGCTTCAAACTGCAAACGATGTGCTGTACCCTACCCAAGTGACTGGCATCTGCTTTGTTCCACTGTGTACAGCTCAGAAGGGCGACATCGCCAACATGGTGATGTGCTTTCGTTTCTTTGCCTGCCTGTGCTACAAATGTTCCTTTTTCAAGTAGTATTGAGAATCTTGCTTCATGCGGTTTGTGCAGATGGTGTTGTGCATTCCATTGCTAATGGAACTGCAGTGTGTGACATCAATTTATACAAGCCTACGCAATACCATTATGACAGGCATATTTCTTCTTTTCATGACCAAAACCAGCACTCTATAGATGTGGTGAAGCAAAAAAAAAAAAAAAGACATTTGCGACACAGACCACAGATGCATTTTTGAATGGCCCATACTTGCAGTGCGTCACTCTTGCTCATTACTTTCACTTGGGTGTGGTGACATAAAACAGTGGCCACCCTTCTTCTGTTTATCTTTCATTTTTTTGTGTGTGTTGCTACGTAGGTAACATATGTCATTCTTCTTTGCACAAGGCATTTCCAAACAGATGGAAAGACCCGCTGTCATGGCTTTTGCCAAAGCCACAGCAGTTCAACGAACCATATTAAAAGGAGGTGCCAGGGTTTCTTCTGTGCATATTGTGCTACGTTGACGTAAGTATGCACTGATATACAAAAGAGCATATACAAACAGTGCTGCTTACACAGAACTGCAGGTGCGAGCCAAGAATTGACTCAATTGCATTAGAAAATGTTTTTTCTGGGAAGCACAGTCACTTCTCTGCTCTCAAGAGACGTGCCTGTGTGCGTGTGTGTGCATGTGTGCTTTTGCGGACAAACGAAATGTCTCTGCCATTGTGGCATGAAGGCCGCACATCTCGCAGACCGACTGACTTGACCCAGGGGGCTGGCCTTCTCTTCAGAAAATGGGTCGCAGTGGATCGACTTCAAAGCACAGAAACTGGGCGGAAATCTGTCTGCTGGAACAAAAGCATTTGCTCTTCATTGCCACAGGATGGCTTTCAGTATATACCTGTTTGGCACATGTTTTCTGTACATATACTATACATAGAAGTGAGGAGAATAGGGCTGCAGAACACTGCTCAGCCATAGTTGACAGGGACCTGCTTGCTCAGCAGGTTCCTGCAACACTGACAAATGCGGCAGTTGCTAATGGTCACACACAAGAATGGGGTGGGTGAACAAATAAAGGACTCTTTTATAGGATTTGTAAGCACATTCCCGTATGCATCCTGAAGAGGAAAGGCCTCTCGTTGCACTGCTCTATGCCAGCTATGTGCGTCGTGTGACGTAGAAACCTTGCTATTCATCATTGTTCTTGTCAACACGGATTTCATGCAGCTGATGCTTGATCTTAGAGTAGTTGGGAATGTCTCATTTTACATGCTCCCTTCTTATTTGGTTAGTGCACAAGCATTCAGGCATCCACCCTGCAAGAGAGAAAATGAAGCTAATGTAAATTTCTCTGGTTGTTTTACCTAGACGGCCCTTTTCAGAGCCAGTCTTGTGACATAAATACCAACCAATTTAATTGCCCAGGAATTTGTTGCACGTACTAAGGGGTTTGGAACTCCTGGATGACTTCGCAACGTGAGAAGGACTAAGTAAATCAGTGCGAAGCCCACTCTCTTGGTGAGAACAACAATCGGTCAGTGAAGGCACACCAGCTGATTTCACTTTCATCGCTGCCAACTTGGCACAAGTTGATGTTCACTTTTGGATTTGTGGAAAACGGAGCAGGAACCTTTGCAAAGACCCTCAAGCTTTGGCTACAAATATAATTCAGCTAGGCTTTCTCTGCTGTGCTTCCTCGAGGTCACCTTGTTTTATTTCAATGCTCCTCTTTGCTTATCTAGCTCGGGACAAGTCTGAGGCTTCTTTGTGCAAGGCTGTGTTAGTAATGTATTCGGGCTTTGTTGTAGTGAAGTTGCTGGGTCATTCTCGATTGCGCCATTTGGCCACCTCAGTATGGCTCTCCTAAATTTTATCTAAAGAGCAAGCACATGAGCTCGCCTCACTTTCTTGTGCACTCCCTGTTCATCTCCAATTTGCAGAAGCTCAAAGGTGCTGCAATCTCTCAGGCTGCGCATGTTTGGTCCGGCCACTGTTTACACAAGGCCAGGTGCTTTAACACCCATGTTGCGTGGACACTGCCTGTATTCTCGTTTGAATGTGACCAGGTCTTTGCTGCCCTCTTTGTGGTGTTCAGAAACATTGGACAAAAATCCAAGAGCTTTTGTGTCACTCAACATACACGCTGTGGCCATCATTGCTTTGGTCTAAGCAAGTTGGTGTCACACTAGTGAGGTTCAACAGCACGACGGGCACAGAACACGTGTCTAATGCTGAACTACCAACTGATAGAATTCGATAGAAGTGCTTATTACAGCATCAAGTGTCACTACTGACAACCTGCCATGTGCACAAAGTAGCCAATATCAACCGCAATCATAACTGCTATCTTTAAAAATGGAGGGTGACATCATAAAAACAAACAAGCCTATGAAATATTTTAAAATACACCACTGTGTAAAACACTATAGCACATATTCATCATCTTCTCATCAAAACAGTGCTGCATGTGCTCCTCCCAAATCAGCTCACAAAAGCCAGATGTTGAGGCGACTACAAATGTGACAGGTTAAAGGCAACACTGCCTAATTAAAAGCCTAAAAAACTTCCATGTGGCCTACAAATGTGGCCTTCCGAGAATGTCATCTAGACTACAAATGTGGCCTTCCGAGAATGTCATCTCGTCTTTTCAGAGAAACACCCGCCACGGTGGTCTAGTGGCTAAGGCACTCGTCTGATGACCCGCAGGTAGCGGGATCGAATCTCGGCTGCAGTTTCAATGGAGGCAAAAATGCTTCAAGCCCGTGTGCTTAGATTTAGGTAAACGTTAAAGAACTGCAGGTGGTCGGAATTTCCTAAGCCCTTTTATATGGCATCTCTAATAATCATATGGTGTCTTGGGATGTTAAATCTGATTAATTATTTTTTGTGAGAAATACGGATGGTTCACTTACACAACTGTCTCCTGCTTTGTTGATCAAAAATTGCCTCCATTATTTTTCTTTCTGATTCACTACTCGCTCACTCCTTTCAGAAAACTGCTCCTCTGAGAACACGCCCACCGCTGCGGCACTGGTCTGCCAGTTCAAGGCAGGGATGCGGGTTAGTCGGTTTATGTCACTTGCATTCATATTTGTAGCGCAAAAAGTAGAAAAACGGAGACACAGAAAAAGCACAGGACCAGGACGGGCACTAGACTTCAACTGATTCTTTTTATTTAAAAAGCCAAAAACCATCGAACATGAGTGCATGCACTCATGTTCTGGATAAGGCAACAGACGCCACATTGACACACCTTCCCTCATTCTCACTGATAGCAAACGCTTCTATAATTTCTCGTGTTGCGGAATTCTGGCCTTTTGCAAGCACACGTACATGGGTGGAATCAGGAGCACAACCACACCTGTGTCAATGATCCGCCAAATCGCCCTTCGCTGCCTGCGTTTCAACTGCCAAACGGTGCTCTGGCAATCTGTAATTAAGACAACGCCCGGTGTGTCTTTTGCAGCATCTGCCACATGAAAGGGGCATCTCATACACGACACCCTTCTCGCAAGGCACGAACGATGCTGGGTTCACCAACGGGCACACGCCGGCAAACTTCTCTGGGGTACCACCACATTTTACTGGCACTTTCTTTAACTGGTAGGAGACGTGGTGCATGTATGGCAAGGCTACTGGCATTGCACTTGGCTTACCAGAGGACCTTGAACGAGAAACCCCTTCAGTCCTCGCAGGAGGACTTGAGCCACAGAGCTGATAAACTTCTTGGTAAAGCCTGCCCTCCCAAGGCATTCTACTTGGCGTTACAAACTTCGCCCATCATGGTGTTCACGTAATTTTGCAAGGGCTGCCCTAAGGCAACTGATGGTGATTTCCCTCTTATTAGTTTAGAATGGGCCGAATCATACCTGAGCATTTCCTTTTCTGAGCATGGTTTGTAGCTCCAGCACACGTGGTTCTCAGCCAGCTCAAAACACACATCGAGGAATTAAGTACTCCTTTTTCCGGCAATTCATGGGTAAACTTCAGGCCTTTTAAACATGCACTAAACACATTTAAAACACTCCGGACTCATTCTTCTCGTGCTAGATCTACTTTCCTGATCACCACCAGGTAATCATCAACATGCTACGAAAGCCTGGTCAAGGTGCACTGCAATGCATCTGTCACAATCCGCCAGAAACGGTGTACCTCACAGTGTGACCTTAATATCTTGCTTTTGTGAGTTCATTTAGGAGGAGTATGCACAGTGCTGTGTTTTTCTTGACAATATGCCATGCGGCTATTTTATTCAACCATGTTCTTGCCCTCTGTTTAAAGATATTACTTGCAGTTGATATTGGCTACTTAGTGCATGTAGCGTGTTCTCACTTTGACACTATGACAAGCACCTTTATCCAATAAACCTCACTTCGAATGGAGTTCAGCACTCGTCCTGTGTTCATGTGTTCATTGTGCTGTGAAACGTCTCAGACATCCGCTACAGTTTGCAGTGTCCACACCCTTCGTTGGGCCTCCCATTTCCCCAGTGTCTTGCTTGCACTGGCTGTACAGGGCATAGAGCAAGGTGCGAGGCCATGTACCACAATAAATGGGAAGTGGCAGCTTTATATATAATATATATATAACATAGATATATAAGCACACACACCTATCATGGTTGAAGATGTGTGCCACTGCACCGCGATTGGTGTGTTGCTGTGGGGGGGGGGGGGGGGAGAAAGAAAAAAAAAATAGCCATGATTGCTCAACACTTTTTATACATTGGTTGTGTAGCATAGCGATCGCGTGGTTGAATCTTTTCGTGTAGCTCTGTGCGGTCGTGTTTGTGTAGTCAGTTCTATGACCTCCTGCGCTGAGGCCCCAGTTGATTACATTGTATTGTGCTATTTACATCTTTGCTTCCTCCCATCTGGGATCGCGGCTTTGTTTTGCCATAGCAGGCTCTTGTGTGGCTGGGTTGCATGAGAATAAACCAACTACGCCATGCTTCTAAAATTATTCAGCAAGTTCGACTAGGTGAAGTTTCTGAGTGAATGTGGCATTTATTCTTCTGTGCCCTTGCGAACTGAGCCCAGTTGCCAACTACATCGATTTTTTTTAACTCCCATCACTAGCTTGCACTATTCTACTAGATGTATGATTTTTAAATGCAGTTCTGGAAGCCGATCCAAGCAGCATAGACCACATGCGATGTTGACTCGAAATGTGGGAACTGATGCCATTGGTTGATGTGGGAAAAAATAAATTTTTAAGGAGTACTGACACAATATCGAGGCATCAGCTAAGGGGCATTTTGTGCTTTCTTGGTTATGCAGTGTTAACACTGTTCACTCACCAGAGCCCAGAGGCACGTTTCAGTTTGATGTTAAACTTTTCCTCACTCATCTACTGCAAGCCATCACGATATACATTATGGCGAGGTCACTGTGTTTGCAAACTCTGCATCCAGTATGCATGCAGCTAAAATGGCCAATGTCACTGTCGCATTTACTGGACAAAAATTCACTCATTTACACGCACCACATGCAAATGACAACAGATGACATTTCTGCTGCTGGCAAATCATGAGTTGCTGTGCCAATGTGACTTCAGAGCCCAGAGGCACGTTTCAGTTTGATGTTAAACTTTTCCTCACTCTTCTAAGGGTTCTTGACACCAGTGTTTCTATTTGGAGCAATAATAAAAAATTTTTTAATTATCATAAAATCTCGAGCAAGCATCCCTCATACAGCGAAAGATATTTGGAGATGATTTGAAACAAGGCCTTTGCTCAATTGCAGACCGAAATTCAAGATGGCGATGCAAGAGTACCTAAGAATCCAGACCTGAGGTTCTAATCACATGCTTTATTGAGTAAACATGCATTTACTGTTTATAAAGCGGATGAAATCCTCTAGTTCCGAAAATTTGTGACTACTCAAAATGCAACTGCAAGGCACCACACTGGAAAAGAAATCGTACACATATTTCAAGACGCTTAGAAGCTGACTTTCCAGGAACAGAATTGTATAGTGCACAAGAAGTAAATGGCAGAAAGGGAAGTAAGGAGTGCATTATTCAAATCTTCCAAAAAACGGTAAGGAGGTGCTTGCTCGGGATTTTGTGGTAGTGTCACTACTCCTTTATTGTAAACTGTTTTGATGCCCTCGAACAGAGGTGCTCGCAGGATTATAAACATCGTCGACAGGCTAGATTGACAGCATTCAGTGTATGTGACAGAGCTGGATTTATAGCAGTGTGCTAATCGCAAATGCTGCACACTGTTGCTGCATTTGCTTTGTTTTGAGCACTGCTGCGAGCAGTTGCAGTTTTTCTTTTAAAATTTTGTTTTGTAACTGCAGTCATGTTCAAGCAATTAAAACTGCATATGAAATTTCGATTATTTCATTTGTCACAACATTATAGCCCTTCTTGAATTTTGAACAAAGACCTCGGTTCAATGCTGCTTGTTCCTTTTCATCAGTGCCACCAAGACCCAACACAGCACTAAACACCAGCACTATGAGCCAAATTCTGTGCTGGTTCGGCATTTGTGGAACTTGTTTGTGCGGGGCCTCTTTCCATTTTACTTTTTATCACATTATATATAATTCTCTTAATATTTGACTAACCACTAAACGAGCATCTAGTCGATATTTCAGGTGTTTCAGGAAGCTGGTAGAGCAATGCTAAGCCTCCTTTTCGTGCTTATGCACTCCTGCTTAGTGACCATGTTTATAGCTCTCGCAAGAGAACTTTGCTTCTTTTTTTTCTCACTACGGTATGCTTGGAATTTTTTGTGTTTTAGGATAGAAAGGAAAAAAGATCAGGGACCTGAAAGATGCATTGTGTGGAGTGCAATGCAAGAATGGTTATAAAACTAAGACCTGTTGTGGCACTTTCGTAACTACTACAAGTGTGAATCCTCTCGTGGAAGTTGTTAGGCAGCAGCTTAAGAAAATTCGCTAAAAAAAATTGGGTTTACCTATGAACATCACATGTGTATGATGCTGAAAATGACCACTAATGTTCAGTAAACAGCATTTTCTTGACAGCTGTTGACCTTTGGAAAGCATTGCCTCTTTTTTCCCCCCTAGGATGATTTATGACGTTTGAGATTTGTATTGCAGCACTAGCATCACGTGGTCGTGACTGTTTTATTGCATCATTTCGGTTTCCTTTTTTCATCACTACGTGTACCCATTGACTTGTGCTTGCATCCGGTTTCTGCACAGTGCACTCGCTGGGCCAAGGTTGCTTTTTTTCTCACTGTGGCAGCGATCAGTTTACTTGTGTCATTTTACCATCACACTATCACCATTCTTACATAGCTAGGTAGTAGCATGTTGTAGGTACTCTTGTATTCCAGAAAGTTGTACCAAAGGGGTATTACCGAAATGGTGCCTGGCAGAGCTGATCTCATTCGCTTTGTCTCCCTTGAATGCACTACTGCAGCAGTTGCTAGTTAAGGAGGAAAGGCAGTGCTGAAAAGGGGGTTCAGATATTGTTGCCTTGATACAAAGCGTGTCATTTAATTTATGGTGCAAATAATTTGATGATGATGTAGCCTTAAACGCCGACCAAACTTGGCAAACTGTTTGAGGGTCTCTTTTAGTGGTTTAGCATTTTCTAGCATAGGAGCTGATCTTGCCAGAACTTGCATGTTGGTTATTGAACTTGTATGTTGGAACTTGCTGGGAAGGTGCTATGCAAGCCAACACCATATCTCTGGCACTCAAAGAAAAGATGGTGGAAAATGAAAAGGTGAGCATTATGTGAAAGGGTGAGCCTGGCACATTTTAATGTGTGAGCTCTACGCATATGTGCGTACAGGGAAAACCAAAAGATTTGGAAACCATGTGAATAGACCCAGTTCACTAATCATGCAGAACATAATATCATAAACGTTCTTCAAGAAAAAAAAGTACAGACACAGATGGGCAAGAGTTGGGAAGTGCAATAAACATAGATACTTCGCAAGAGTAAGTCAAGACA